CCCCCCGCAATCCAGCCCGGCGACGAATCCAGCAGTGTGCCCTACTTCCACATGGTGGGGTTGCTCTTCGACTTGATGGCCTTCTTCCACAGCTACACAGCCATCGGCAATCGCAATGACCTGCTGAGTGCCGGGGTCTGGCAGTCGACAGCCCTGCTGCCCGGGGCGCCGCCCTCGATCAGCCTCAACCCGGCACAGCTGAGCGCCGTGTTGGGCTCGCTGCATGAATGGAGGGCACGGTGGCCAGACGACCCGACCCCTTTGCGGTCCCTCCCCAACCTGTGGCTGGCCCTCGTGCAAATGGGCCAAAAGATCCGCACTCGGATAGTGGCCCGATCGCTGGACGAGTCTGTGCCGCTTGCCGAGAGCCTGGTCGGCCTTCGCGCCCTGCTGGTCATGGGGGTGGCCTCTTTTACTTTGCTGCGGGCGGACTACCCGGCGTCCGGTGGCACCCTCGGTGTTTTGGGCGGGTCGAGCCTCGGTCCGGCCGAGGACCCGTCCCCCGGTCTGGGGTTCCCACCAGTGGTGGCCATCGACGCGCGCAATCTCCCTGGCACGCGTCCCTGGGTGGAAACCACGACCGAAGCGCTGGCCGACGTGACAGCCAGCCTGCTGGCACAGTGTCAGGATGCCGCGGCCGGGCTCTTTTCCCTGGATGGCGACACACTGCCGAGCGATGAAGCCGGGCCCTGGTGCTTGGCCGGTTTGCTGGAGCACTTTGAGATGCTGGCCCTGCTGGTCGGGGTCCTGTGCTCGGTGCACAGCGCCGCCATCGATACGCACATTCGCATGCCCTCGGCTTTCCCCTTCTCGGCGGCCATCCTGGAGACCACAACCACCCGGCAAATCATTGACGATTGGCTGGCGCACTCGGCTCAGCCGGGATTCTTCGCCGCCGAGGTCATGGACATGGAGGAGGTCGGGGCCGCGGCGGAGGAGGCCGCCGCGGCCGGGCTGGCCCCGCCGCCTGTGGTCCCGCTCTCGGAGTCGGCCTCCCGGTGGCGGACCTTCCTGTCGGATTGGGAGGTTCCCTCCTTCCCGGGCGACTCGACCCCTGTGGGGGCCGGGTGCTTCCTCCACCAGAGCCTTCACACGGGCCTGGGCCTGCGGCGCTCCTTCCGCCATATTGTTGCTTGTTTGTCCCTCTCGCGCCAGGTATGTGTCGGCGTGGCACCGGCCATCGGTCATTCCTCCCTGCCTTGAGGCAGGCAGGCAGGCAGGCAGGGGGGGGGGGGGGGGGGGCATCACGCACCGTTGCTGTTCTTGGCCTGACACTTCCTCCTCTTCCTCCCCTTCTTCGGGCGTCTCTTGCCGTCAACACCTTTTCCCTGCCTTTACCCCGGCCACAATGTGTAGGCCCACACGCTCATCGGCAAGATCCTGGCCGTGGCCATGACTCCCGGACGGGAATCCCCCCTGACGAGTGACTTCCTATCGCACGCCCTGCCGCGGTTTGTCAATGCCCTGCGTCTGATGACCATTTACTCACTGGAGGCTGCTGGCAATCTGACTCTCGAGGCCATGGTGCGCACGCAAGCCATCCCTGGCGCCCCCTTTGCCCTTGGCGCCTGCCATCTGACCCCTTTATGATGGATCTCTCCCTCCCCCCCTTCCCGCCCATGCACACGCCCACGCACACGCACACGCTCACGCCCACGCTCACGCCCACGCTCACGCCCACGCACACACGCACACACACACACACACATTCACATTCACATTCGCGCAGGATCCGAAATACGGCCTGTCGATGACCTTGCGCCTGTTACGAATCCTCATTGCTGGGTCCTCGAAAATGGGGGACTTCGGGGCCTACCTTTCGACCCCCGGGCCGCTGAACAACCTGCTGGAAGCCAAGCTCTTCTCGCTGGCACACCTGCCGGCCGAGACCCTTGCGGAATTTTGCACCTGCCCCGGGGCAGGCGGCCCCGAGAAGCTTCGCCAGCAGCAGGTCCAAAGTGGCGACAGTACTCTGGGATCGCTTTTTGGCGGGTTACGCTCGGTGTTGCTGGAATCGACGCGACTCAGCCGGGCTGTGGTTCACTTGCCGCCGGAGCTGGTTGCTGCCAGCCCCACAAGCACCCGGATCAATGCCACCATGTTGCCCCTGTCATTGGAGGCCTTCCTGCTGGCGGCCACATCGACCTATGTGCTGAGCTCCTGCTCTCCGTGCTCCCCCGGGCCCAGGCCGGAGGCCACCGCCCGGCCGGACCTGTGCCCGGTCCTGTCGGTGGTCGACCGTTTCAGCAGCTTTGGACCGGTGCGTGCGCATGGCCACAGTCCGGGCGAGTCGTCTTTTTCTTTTGCCCCCGTTCTCCTGCCCCTTTGTTTCCCTTTGGCGCTCGGCCCCCCCCCCCACCGCCACCCTTCTTCGCCACCCCCTACCAGTGTGCCCCATGCACCCACTTACCCATACCCATGCAGCTTCCACACCTGTGGGAGCGCTTTGCCCAGTCGCCCAGCTTCCGGGCGGTGCCCGGGTTCGTGCCGAGTGGCCATGAGTTTTTGTCACGCGTGGACCCGGACTATCACCCGACATTGGACTACTTGGCATCGGCCCTGCGACAGTGTGTCATCATGCTGGTCAGCTCGACGGATCTCCCCTGCCGGCCGCGCTTGGCCAGCGATCCGCGGTCATGCGATTTTGCCGACTGCTCCCGGCGTGGGCTCTACTGCCGGCTGCTCGGTCGCCTGGTCATCGGGCCGGTGCTTGCGACATCTGCCCTGAGTCCGGAAGAGTCCCCCCGGGTGGCCGGGATAGGCGGGCCCTCGGCGGCGGCTTCCTGCTGGCCATTGGGGTCGCCACCGGCCGGGTCTGGTGGCGACCGTCGGGCTGCCCTGCTGGCTGGGTTTCGCATTCGCCGGTATGCGCTGGCCTTCCTCGAAGAAGCGTCACTCGGCTTCCCGAAGGAGCGTGCGGCCATTGCGTATCTGTTTGCTCAGAAGCGCCCGAAGTCGCCGGATGCGCCGTTTCCGCTGAATTCCTCGCACCGGCTGCCGCGCACTCTCTCGGCCTTCTGGGCGGATGATGACATCAGCCGGGCCATCGATACGTCCTTCGCCGAGCTGGAGGCTTTCAATGCGTCGCTCATCGGCCTGAGCGCCGGGTCGCATGCGCCCGGCCGGCGGGAGTCGCCAAATCTCCACCTCAGTCATGTTCGGGGTCTCGGGGCCATGATGATGGTGGTGTGTGCCTGATGGCCTTCCTTCCTTTCGTTCGCCCCTCGGCTGCTCGCACCTGCTCTGCCTTGCGGACCGCGTATTTGTGCCTCGCCCGCGCGGTTTTCCTTACCTCCCTCCTGCCCGGTCTTCCTTCTCCCCCCCCCCCCCGCTCCCCCTCCTCTCCCTCTCCCTTGGGCTCTCCCTCTCGCCCGCTCGCTCGCTTTCCATCTTGGACATAGTCCTCGACACTTATTACCCAGCTTCTCGGGCCGGGGTACTTCCTGGCGGACTTTGGCCTGGCATGTCAGCTAGAGCGCACGGCGCCGGAGGGCCGGCGAGAGGCAGTCCTCCTGGAGAAGGTCCTGCCCATGGCGGAGCGCCTGTCCCGACATGCGGCGCGGCTGTTGCTGCTGCTGCTGAAGATCCCGCCGCAGCAGCACATTGGCGTGGGGAATTTCCGCTTCACCTTTGACGCGCCCCTGCCCACCGGGGCCCCGGAGTCGGCTGTCACCACGGCCGCCCTCCTCCGACCGGTGACCTGCTTCCATAGTGTCACCGGCTCGGTGACCGAATACTCCACGCCCGGGCTTCCCCGGAACGCCTCCCCCGGCGATGCACTTCCCCTCCTTCTTCACATTTTCCGCCTCCTTCAGCAATCCAGCTCCGACCCGGCCCACCTCCGCGGACAGTCTCTCAGCTCGTTGACCAGTAACACGGAGCTGGTGACGCGTGTGCGTCCTCTCTCTCTCTATCTCTCGCCCTCTCGCCCTCTCGCCCTCTCGCCCTCTATCTCTTTGCACATGCCATGTTGTCCGTCCCCGGACTCGCCTGCCATGTGCACACCCCTCCCCTCTTCACTCCCTCCACTCATTTTCTCACCGCCGTCCATGTGCACATCCCCCCCCCCCTCCCCCGTTCCTCTTCCTGGCAATGGCCGACATCGCCAGACTCTCACCCTCCTGGAGATGGCCCTCCTGTCATTGGAGTTCCATGCAGACGATGTGGTGGACCGCCGCGCGCCGGACGCCGGGCGTGGCCTTGCCCAGGTCCTGCGGTCCCTGTTCTCCGTGTCCCTGAGCCCCCTGGCCGCCGGGGCCGAGGGCGAAACCATCTTCTCGCATCTGATTCGCCTTGCGGCGTCATGGGCCACGCCGGCCTGGCGCCTGGCCCAGGCTGATGTTGCCGATGCCTCGAAGGCTCGAGTCATGGCATGGACCGTTCTGCTGACCCTTTGCAGTCCGCAGTTCCTCCCGCGACCCCAGGCGCTGGCCATGGCATTGGCAAGTGCCGGTGGCTCGGGCGGCCCGGCCGGCGGCGTGCCCCTCGGCATCAGCCGCCCGGCCGTCAGCCTGGCAGTGTGCGCATGTGCCGCGCGTTTGGGCTCGCCCGGGACCGATTGCCGGTGCGGAGTCCTGGCCGTGTGGCACGCCCTGTCGGACCGGCGGCCGGCGATGTGCGCCGCTCGGCGGACGCTCCTTAGCCTGGCCAGCGGGCCGCCGGTGGCCAATCGCTCGCCGACGGCCAGCCACCCGGCGCCCCTGGCATTTGGCGATGGCCAGTGCTTCTGCATGCGTGACCCGGAGGTGGCGGCCGCCGAGGCGGCCATCGTCACCTCCGGCTCGGCCAGCCTGCCGGCCAGCGAGTCCCCCTGGGTGTGCTGCTTCTTGCATGTGCCGGCCCGATCGTCGCCGGGCACGGTGGCCGCCGTGTCCCCGGCCGGGGCCGTGTCGCATTTGTCTCAGGCCGAGGCCAACGACGCGGCCCTGCTGGCCGCCTTCCTGGTCAAGTGTCTTGCCCATTCGAACATCGTGCTGTCTGGGTCGTGCGCGCAGTTGGCTGCCGCGGGCATTGAGTTGCAGCGGGCACACCGTCGCCACCGGGCCCCGGGCGACCCGGGCAGCGACCAGCCCGGCGATCGCTACAGTGCGTACAACCTTCCCCGCAGTCGGGTCTTGTGGCGGGTTCTTCGCTTGGGTCCCCCCCCCCTCCCCTCCCCTTCCCTCCCCTCCCCTCCCCGCGGCCATTGCTGACTTCTCTCCCACTCGTGTGGCAGCTCTCCTGCTCGCATCTGAGCAGTATGCCACCTTCGGCGTCGGTGTCATCAGCACCCTGCTTGCGGCCCTTGCTCGACGGGTCCGGCTGGCCCTGAGCACGGTCCAGGACCTGGCGGGTCTGCCACCCGACAGCGCCTCCCTGCATGAGGTGGTGCAGGATGTGCTGGCGGCGCATCGGGTGCTGGGGCTGCTGTCCGGGACCGGCATGGCCGGGGTTCTTTCCTTCCCGGAAAGTCAGCTGGCCGTCTTGCACTTCCTCCAACGGCAGTATACCAACCTGCCGGAGGGCGAGGCCAGTCTCCCGGAGGCGGTGATCCGCCTGCGGGGGTTCCTCCTGGAGGAGTCGCGGACGCTGGACATTTGCTTCGAGTCCTTCGACTTGCTGCCGTCGCAGTTGGATGCCATCCTGCTGGATCTGGCCCAGGCTGGGTTTGCCCTTTTGCGGGACAGCATTTTGCCGGCCTCGCGGCAGATGGCCGCCCGAACGGTCATCCACCCGATTGTCGGGGACTTCCTGGCCAATGGGGACTTCGAGCGGGACCCCAACAGCCTGGAGGCCTCGGTGGCCGCGGTCTTCCAAGCGGCGGGTCTCATCCCGACCACCGGGCCCGGGGCCGAGAGCCTGCAGCAGGCCCACCTGTCGGCCGGCACTCGCAGCCACACCGGCAATGGCGGCTCCTCGACCGGGTCGGACCGGCCCGAGTCTGGCGCCTACCAAGCCCATCGCACTTCCTTCGGGTATGTCTTCCTGGCGGCGCACCTGGCAGTCCTCTGGTCGCTGGCCCTGCGCCAGGCCCCCACCAGTCGAGCGCTCTTCATTTCGACGTTCGCCCACTCGGACTGGCAAAAGACCATGTCCTCAACCGCGTCGTTGGCTCTCCTGGTGAGCAACACGACGCCGGTGGTCCGGCCCTTTGCCGGCCCGGCCCGGGCACTCAATTGGCTGGCCCGGCAGGTGGGTGCCGGGTTCTTGTACCCGGGGTCCGGCATGCCGAGCCTCCCCCGGGCCACGACTTGGCCGCTGTGGAAGCTGGCCACCCTGCTGCTGGCATCGTTCGAGTGTGTCGGGACCATGGTGAGCACGCCGATCGCCGGATCCGGCAGCCCGAGCGCCCCCCTGCAGCCGCAGCATGGGGCCTTCCGGCGCTTGTGCGCCCTACTGCCCACCTGCCAGGCGGCCAGTGAGCAGCACACCCGTGACGGGGTCAGCTGGATCCTGGACATCCTGGAGGTGGTTGTCCCGCACTGTGGCCTCGACAGTACGTGCCGAGTCTGCCTGGTCCGGTTCACTCGCTGGCACAGCCCCCGTGCCTCGCCTGGTGGCGCCTAACATCCTCCCCCCTAATCCTGCCATCCTTCTCTCCTTTCCTCTCTGCCCCCCTCCCTCTCCCTCTCTCTCTCTCTCTCTCTCTCCCTGCCCCTCCTCCTCCCCCTCCCGCCCGGGTAGATGGCGACATGCACCTGCTTTTGGGGTATCTCCAGGCAGCCGGCCCGGCAGTCGGCATGGGCCGCGTGGTGGCCGCGCAGCTGATGCCCAAGCTGCCGCGCCTTCTCTTCCCCGAGCAAACCCTCTCGACACATCGCCCGCCGGGGGTGTCCTTCTCGGTGGGCAACCCGCTGGACTTCAGCGGCGGGTTGCTGTTGCCGGCACTGGGCCGGCGGCCGGCCTTCTCGGCCCAGCAGCCCGATGACCCGGTCTTTGTGGGGGTGGGCTTCTTCCAGCCGGAGGACATGGACGATCCGCAAAGCGCCTCCTACTGGTCGGTGGCCTTTTCGGTGTCTTTTTGGGCGCGCTTTGGCAATCTGGCCCCCTGGCAGCAGGGCCCGGCAGCCACCGGCGGCTCGGGAGATGGGCTTTCCCCCCCGCGGTCGCGGTCTTTCCACCAGGATTCCCCCCCGCGTCCGAATGGTGTGTCAGGTCCGGGGGTCCAGCCAGCCGGTCTTTCGTCTTTCTTCCTCCCCTTCCCTTGCCTGCCTCTCCCTCTCGCCTCTTCCGCCTCTTCCGCCTCCTCCGCCTCTGCTGCCTCTTCTCCCGCTGACCCCCTGCCATCGGGCTTCATTCTTGGCAGTTGCCTCGCACGAGTCGCTCACGGTCGACGACGTGCACCTGGCCAAGATCCTGCTGACATGCAGCCTGCGAACGACCCGCGTGCTGGTGTCCCTGCGGCAGGAGGAGCCCACCTCGGGCGTCATGATCCCCTGTTGCCCGTGTGATTCGGCCAATGCCGACACCTGTGGCGGGTGCGGCGGCCCGGCCGGTCGTGGGGTCCGGCAGGTGGCCTGCCCGGCGCGCGGGCTCGGGCACTTTGTGGAGCTGGTCCTGGCACAGCCATCCGGGCCGCCGGGGGACCGGCTCCCCCTGGGCGGGGCGGTTTTCGCCCTGCGCGTGAGCCACCTCCGACCGACCCCGGGAGCCGGGGCCAGCAGTTCACACTGCCATGCGTGTCAAGGCCATGCGCCGGTGGTGCGCTTTTATGTGCTGGCCAGCGCGGCCACTGTCTTCGCCGGGCGCCTGGTGGCCGAGCCCCGGTCGCAGGGCTTGCTCGACCCGACCCCGGATGAGGTTCTCAAGTCGGCGCTGGACAGCTGCTGGCTGAATGTGTCTCTCGGGTTCATTCGGGTGCCCTCCGGCCGGCCGCTCTCGTGCGAATTCTACGATGTCCAGCTGCTGGTCGATGGGAAGCCCCTGTCAGCCGTGCCATTCCGCCAGCTGAACACCATCCCGGAGCACATCCTGGAAAATGCCCGCCACCGGCCTCTGGCTGATGTCCTCTTCCGGCACCTTTCCGACCAGGCGGTTCGCATCGCGGTGCCGCCCTTTGCCCTGAGTCCGCGTCTGTCGGCCATCGGTATGTCCCTGTGTGCCCCTTTGCGGCCTGTGGCCGCCGCCGGCGCCACATTCGGCCAAGCCTGCTGACTTGTGCATCTCCCTCTTGACGCGTGCACGCATTTGCTGACACCCACACCCACGCACGCCTCCCTGCCTTTTATACTCTCTTGCTTTCTTCCTCGCTCCCAGGCACTCGCGTTACCCCCTTTTCCGCGTGGGGCCCCCTGGGGGCCATGGCCGACGACACGGCCCCCGGGATCGGGTCGCTGCTGGCCCAGCGGGCCCTGTTCACTCCGCCGCCGGCGCAGTTTGCCGGCCGGCTCCGGCGCACGGTGGTCCTGCTGGACATTGGCCCCATCAGCTGGACCGATGGCGGGTGCTTCCGCCGGCAGCTGGTCCTCATGCACAATCACTCGATCCCGGCATCGCACCTGGCCATCCCCGGGGCCGGGGGCCCGACGGGCGCCGGTGGCAGCGGCACCGGGGCCGGTGCCAGCGGCGGCAGCAGCATGATCGGTGGCATGGCCGGCCTGGGGTCGAGCTCGACCCCGGGCCCCGGGGCTCTGGCCATCGCGGCCACGGGTGCCGCGCACCCGCGACACTCGAATTTCGTGTATGCCGCCATGTATGCCCAAATCCAGGAGCACCTGGCCCGGGCGGCGGCTGGGGCCTTGCAAGGGCGCCATGCGGCCTCTTCCACCGGGGCAGGGGGTGGCTCTGCCGCCGGTGGCGGTGGCATCCTGCTTTCCGGGGCATTTGAGGAAGCCGAGCGGCGCTTCCTGCATGTGTATCATTATCACCTGGCATCCATCATGGTGGCGGCCATGCGAACGGCGCAACTCGGCCCGAACAACATCCTGCGCCTGGACCAGGTCATCTGCGGGCGCACCCGTGTCGGTCCGGACCTGGCGACCGTGGGCCTGACCGCGGATGATGCGTGTGCTGCTGCGGGAGCGGCGCTCCCCCATGCGGCGGTGGTGCCGGCCCTGTTGGCTGCCCCTGCCGGGCTGCCGGCCACCCAGGGGGCCCTCCTGGCCGGGCTGTCCCCCTCGGTGCCGGATCTCGGGACGGCCAACGACCCCGGGCCGTTGGCCGGGCCCTCGGCGGCGGATACCCTCCTTCGGGCTGGTGTACACCCGGCTCACACGGCCTTCGGCTATTTGTCGACCGACTGCGATCTGGCCGGGCACATTGCCCACCTTTACCAGCTTCAGGCCCAGGACCTCCTGCAGGCCAAGGTCGAAGCGCCGGCCACGGTGGCCGAGCTGATTGCCTTTGCTCGGGCCTCGGCCGAGCCAGACCCCACTGGCCTGGGGTTCGGCATGTCGGTGGCCCCGGCGAGCGAGGTGGCTCTGCCCCCCGGGCCGCTGGGGATGGCCGTGCCATTGGGCCAATTCACCCCGGCGGTGGCGATTCCCCACTACCGGCGGCTTGTGGATCCGGGGCTGACGGTGGCCGCTCCGCCGGTCGGCAATGTCGATGCCCCGGAGTCTGGCCACCTGACCGGGGCCCCGGTCACTTGGCGTCTGCTGGACCAGCTGCTTCCGTTGGATTCGGCCGTGCTGGCCCTGCCGCCGGTGGGGGCGGCCGTCTTTCGAGGCCACGACTCGGGCCGCGGGTCGGGCGCCTCGTCTCCCCGAGCGAGCAACCGGTCGACGGCCATTCTCCCCCCGGCCGGCCGTTGGGCCGACATGCTGCGTGTGGGAGCCGAGGATCTGCCCCAGCTTGGACGCCTGATGTCGGCGGTGGCGGCGGCGGCCGCCGCCGCCGCTGCCACCACCACCATTCCCACCGCTCCCGCCAGCGCCACCGCCCCCGCGAGTCCATCTCGCTCCGGCGCCGGCGCCGGCACCCAGCCCTCGGCCCCCATGCCGACAAGTGGCGATGTGCCTGGGGCGCCTGACTCCCCGAAGCTTGGTACCCTGTCGACCGCGCTGGCCACCACCCGGCCGGCGGTGGCCCAGTCGCTCGGCATGCCGGTTGATGCGTCGGCCAGCGTGATCGACATGCTGGAGCACCGCCCCACCGTCGGGGCGGCCGGGCCTGCCAAGGACCGACACGCCGGGCATGGGCCGTTGGCCGCGGTGGCGGCCGCCTCCGCTGCCATGGCCTTTGCCCTGCCGGTGGATGTGTTCCACGGGTTCGTGCCGGGGTCCGGCCTTCCAACCTGGCCAGCCGACCCAGGGGCGGATTGCCCGGCCGGCGGCCGGTCGGCCTACCCCATGCCGGGGCTGGCTCGGCCGCCAAAGGCCGTGCCCCTCAGCCAGGCGCTGGTGGCGGCCGGCGGCTTCGGCGGCCTGGCGGCCACCCTCCATCGGCTGGTAGACCATGCGGTTGAGGTCCATGGCGATCCGGAGCTCCATCACCTGCGAGCCCTGGCCCTCGACATGGTCAAGCAGTTTGTGGAGCTGGTGCAGCGTCTGTCGCGCGGGCCGCTGGCCATCGATTCGCTCAATCGCAGCTGGAACCGCCACGGATTGGGCATCGCCGAAACGCGCACCGTCTCGCTGATGGACCTCCCGGAGCGGCGACTCTTCCTGTCAGCGGCCCCGGTGGGCGGTCTGCAGGCGCACTTCCTGGGTGCCCTTCGCCAGGCGGTATTGCGCTTGCCGGCCAACTGCTCCCTCTCCTTCCTGACTCTGTCGTCTCACCTGCCGCACCACCACCACCACCCGCCACAGCAGCCGCAGCAGCAGCCCAGCCCAGGGCAATCCTCCCTGATGCAGCCGCAGCAGCAGCAGCAGCAGCAGCACCTCCAGCAGAAGGCCTTCTGGCCCAATTCGCTGGTGCCCGACCCGGAATTCCTGGCACTCGCTCGCGCCGCGCCGGCTGGCAGCCTGACCCCCCCGCAGGGCCGACTGGTGCTCTCGCCGCCGGGGCTGGCCCTGGCCCTGGCCTGGCTGACGCAGCATTGCCGGGCGCTTGCCAGTGATTTGGCCAGCATCGGGCGCATGCGTTCGGCCAGGGGGTTCCTCCAGCGGGAGGGGCTGGCATCGATCATGGCATCCACCGAGGCGGCCGCCACTGTGGACCCGGTGCGGCGCCTGTTCGGGCGCTTTGTCCACCTGTCGCCGCTGGTCGATGGGCGCCTGTTGCATTCGCGCCTGCAGCCGGCCCTGGAGCAGCGCAACCACCAGGCCGGCATCCATGAGTCTCCCCATCTTTGGAGTCGATCTGAGCCACACCTGCCGGCAGTGGGCATGGAGTCCGACGCCACGGGCCCCGGGGCTGGCTCCGCTGCCCCTGACGCCGCTGCCGCCGCCGCCGCCGCCGCCGCCGCCGCCGCCGCCACCAGCACCAGCACCAGCACCCCCACTCCTGCCACTGGCAACACCGAGGATGGTCCGGAATCCGGGGCTTCGGCCAGGGCGTCCGCCCCCCCCTCGCCGCCTGGAGCCATTCCGGCCTCGCGCATTGCCCTGGCACAGGAGGTGGCTCGCTTGCACTTGGCCGGTGAGCCCCACGCCCTTGGGACATTCACCTTTTCCACCATGCGCATCTTGCAGACCATGGCCGTGGCTGGTGTGCTGGTAGTGCGGGACACCTTCCAACGCTGCCCCCCCCGGGCGTCCATGTATGATGGGATCCAGGCGATGGGCTCGGCGCGGCAAGCCCCGGCAGCCGGCGCCCCTGGCTCGCCCAGCCTGGGCACCGGTGCATCTGGCGGCACCGCGGCCAGCCCCACCGCGCCCGGGGCCGCGGCGGCCAGCGAGTTTTGGATTATCTTCGTGCCGGTCCCCGGGCCCAAGGCCATCCGGCAGCCCGATAGCACGGAATTCCACTATGGCCATGCCCAGGGCCCGGGCGCCGGGTCTGGCCTGCAGAATTGGTTCTCCCTCAAGCGCCGGACCACGGCCGCGCCCACCGAGGCCGTGGTCCTGGGGCACGATCTGGACTCGATCACTGCCCTGACTTCGGCCTGCCAGGCCAGCGGCAACCGTTCCAAGGCCCTCAAGCTGTACCATTCGTACCTGCATGAGCTGTGCCACTTTGTTCAGGAGGAAACCGACGACTCGGCCGGCTCCAGCCGGCGGTCGTCGCGCTTGCACTCGCCCTCTTCGTCCCAATCGCAGCACCGTTTGACCGATGAGCAGGTACGTGGCATTGCCAGGATCTGCCTTTCTCTCTCTCCCTCTCCCGCTGCCATCGTCCCCCTGCTTGCGCCCTGTCGGCGCATCCTTCTGCACATTTGCCTGCCCCTCACATATGCTGCCGCTCTTGCCCCCCGGCGATCGGGGCCCATGCCCCTGCACGCATGCAGATTCTCCACACGCTCGACCCGAATGCCCTTTCGCCGGTCAGCTGGACCACAAGCTCCCTGGACTTCATCCGGTATCGCCGGCATCTGGTCCGGCATACGGGGCTGGAGTTTTCGTCGCAGGGTCGGGTATGTCACTGTCGTCACGCCTTGCGCCAGTCCGGTCGCCTCAATTGGCCGGCGTCTCGGTGCCCCTCCGCTGAGCGGGCATCAAGCACCGCGGGGGAGGTCTCTTGCCGTTCCACTGACCAAAGCTCCCCCTTGTGTGGCAATGGCGCAGCTCTTCTTCTTCGTCTTCCAGGACACCCGCGCGCGGTCGCTCTTCGTCCGGTCGCTGGCCCTGCAGGGCGTCTTGGCCACGATGCCCGGGGCCAGGTCTCTCTTCCCGGCCCCCTCGGCCTCGGCCGGCTGGCGGTGGTCCTACTCCACGGTGGCCATCAGTGCCGTGACGTTGAACTCCCTCCGAGGCCAGACGGCCGGCACCGGTGGCATCCCCTCGATCATGGGCCCGGTGGCGGCCCAACAGCCCCTGCTACCGGCGCCGGGTGCGCATCTCCGATCGCACTCCCTGACCTTCGGGCAGCTGGCCCCCCCGATGGCCGGCCCGGGCCCTGGCGGGGACTTCGCCACCGGCGGCAGTCTCCGCCTGACTGCCAGCGAGGCCAGCCGTTTCAGTGCGCCCCCGGTCTCCGGCCGGCCGGCCCCGGTGATCGCGGCGACCGCCCCCTCGGTCGGGGTGCCGCTCGGCTTCAAGTCCCCAGCCGAGGAGGTTGCCAGCTCCCTGTCCAAGGCCGTGACGGCCGCGTGGCAGCGCCATGAGGTATGTGACGACCCGGCTCCTGGCAGCCCCAAATTGTGGCGCCCCCCCCCCCCCCCCCCCTTGCAGTGTGACTTGCCCGCCGGATTGCTGACCCCCCGGCCGCCGGTGCCACCGGTGCCTGCCATCACCGGGTGTGTGTAGATTTCCAACTTCGATTACCTCATGTACCTGAACCATGTGTCCGGTCGGACCACCTCCGACCTGGCCCAATACCCGATCTTCCCCTGGGTGTTGGTGGACTACACCAGCCAGCGGCTGGATCTGAGCTCGCGCGCGGTTTTCCGCGATCTGACCAAGCCCATCGGCGCGCTGAACCGCGCGCGCCTCGACAACCTTGTCGATCGCTTCGAGCAAATGAAACACATGGCCCAGCCCGGGGCCGATCCCTTCGACTTCAGCTTCACGGTGCGCATGCGCCGGCCCTCTCGGCCAGGCTGGCCACGCTCGTGCCCTATCCCCGACCGGTTGCCTTGCCGCTGCTTTGCCGCCGCCGCCGCCGCCGCCGCCGCTGACCTCCTCCCACCCAACCGGTGTAGCCCTTCCTCTATGGGAGCCATTATAGCTCGCCCGGAGCGGTGCTCTTCTATTTGGTCCGCCAGGAGCCCTTCAGCACGTTGGCTGCCCAGCTCCAGGGCGGATCCTTCGACCATGCGGATCGCATGTTCCACTCGATTGCCGACTGCTTCTCCGGGCTGCTCAACGCGCCGACCGACTTCAAGGAGGTACATCCCATCCGGACATGGTCTTTGGTTGCCTTCTTCGCCCCTGCCCCTCCGCTGCCTCTCCTACTGCCCTCCTTTCGCACCCTCCCCCCTTCCACATGGGGCCGCCTTCCGTGACACTCACATCTTCTCCCCTCCTGCTTGCAGCTCATCCCGGAGTTCTTCTACTCGCCGCACTTCCTGCGCAATGCCAATGGCCACCAGCTGGGCCGGACCCAGGCCGGTGTCACTCTCGGCGATGTCGTGCTGCCCCCCTGGGCTCGGACGCCGGAAGAGTTCATCCGCATCCACCGGATGGCCCTGGAATCGCCGTTTGTCTCGCGCGAGCTCAACCATTGGATCGACCTCATCTGGGGCTGCAACCAGTTTGGCGACAATGCCGTGCGCACGCACAATGTCTTCCACCCGAACTGCTACGAGCAGTCTTTCCCCCTGCAGCATGGCCGGCTCCTGGTGCCGAGCTCCATCTCCTCGCAGATTCTGCACTTCGGCCAAGCCCCCTCCCAGCTGTGGGCCAGCCAGCCCCACCCGCAGCGGTGCGTTTCCGGCTGGACTTCCCCCCCCCCCCCCCCCCCCCCTCGCCTCTCCTGGGGACGGTCGTCTCTCCCAGCCACCCGCCAGTCATGCCATACTCCTACTTGGAGGCTGATCTGGCCGGGTCGCTGAGCAGGCTGTCTCTCAACCAGAGCCTGCAATCCCAATTGAGCATCTCCCTGACGGCCGAGAGCACGCACTACGCCGGGGCGGACTTTTCGCACCTGTTCTTCCGCGCCGGCGGCCCGCGGCCCGGCCTCTATGCCATCAACGCGCGTGAGCATACCCTGCTGTACTTCCCGCGCCTGTCTCCGGAAGTCCACACTGCGGGTGCTCCGGCCGGGCCCGGCAACGGGGCCTTTGCCACTGAGCGCTCGCGCCCGGTGGTGGTCATGTACGGGCCTGTCAAGATGTTTGCTCTTCTGCCCCCCCCCCCCCCCACCCCCCCCCGCACTGCCTGGCCCGCCAGGGTTTCTAACTCCCCTCTCCATCCGGCCTGCAATCTACCCAGGCCCCTCAGCCGGCCGCTCGCGCTGGATGTCACGCTCCCGGCGCTGGCCATGGCGGCAGCCGACTGTGGGACCGCCGCCACCGCGGCCGCCACCATCCCCGGGGCCGACCCCCTTTCACGGATTTACACCACCTCCGGCGATGGGCGCTTCGTCTTCCTGGCCGGCAATCCCGACGGCCGGGTGGGGGTCTTCGATGTGGATACCGAATCGCAGACCAGCCTGACCACGCTGCATTTGGGTGCGTCTCTGTCCCCTTTTCTTCCCCCTCGTCCTTGGCCTGGCTCCTCCTCCCCCCCCCTCTTTCTGGTGTTTGCATTGCAGGGCATCCCGAGCCCGATGACGCTGGCCCTATCTGCGCGCGGGCTCTTCCTCTGGCCGCTCCCCCCCCCCTCCTCCTATTGACGCATTGTTCCCCCCCCCCCCTCTCTCTCTCCTCCTTTGTCTGCTCTTCCGCCCCTCCTAGGCCCGGTTACCGTGTTGGCCAGCGACTTCGAGGGCCGACACCTGGCCACTTTCTCGCCAGCCGACGCGACAGTCATCCACCGAGTGATCAATCCACTGGCCAGCGGGTGTCTGCCCAGTGGGGCGCATTTGACTGGCCGCACCACGGTGACCCCCTTTGCTGTGGATTTCCATCCCGATGTGCAGACTGGCCTCGTGGCCCTGGCTGCCCTTGGCACCGGCGGCCCGGGCCTGGGGCCGCCGCCCGACAACGACCCCCTGGCCGGCGTGCACCTTAGCCCGGATGGGGAGTTCTGCCTGCACGTGTGGACCTCCGGCCGGACGGCTGTCATCCAGCGTTCCGAGTCGCAGCTGCCCCTGTGGTCGCACGGCCCGATCCTGCGCGTGTCGGCCGAGTGTCGGGTCTTGCCACACCCGGATCTCCTGCCGGCGGATGACCCCGGCGCGGAGGTCGAGGTGCGCGTGGTTGATGGCCACATCCTGCGCGATGGGGCGGCCGTGCTTTTGTCATGTTCGCTCGGGGCCTCGGCCGCCACCGGGCCGCCCTCCTGGTATTTGCACCTGGTGGACCCGCTCGGGGCCGAGCGCGGGGTCATGCGCCTGCCCCCGGCCCCGGGCCGGCCGCGGCTGGCCGTCTGGCCCCTGGACTCGGCCAATTCGCTGCTGGCGGTGCACTTGCCCCCGGCAGCGGCCGGCGGTGCTCAGCCCCACAGCCCGACGCAAGTGCGTCTGCTCCATGCCGGCCCGGCTGGCCTGTCGCTGGTGGATGCATTGGCCGAGCCTCAGGCCCTGGCCTCCCCGCAAGGGGACTTCCCTCTGGGCTCCACCATGCGTATTGGACCCTCCTCCTCTTCATCCTCGTCGCCTCTCTGGGTGGACACCGACTTCGGCGATGGGCACCCTCTGGCCGAGGAGCCCTTGTCCCCCTCGACCATCGGTGCCGATGATGGTGATGATGGCGATGGGGGTGATGGGGGTGATGGTGCCAATGACCTTGGGCCGGGCGCCAGGTCGGCACCAGCCCCCGGGGTCCGGTGCAGCTTGGCGTTTGTCCCGCCCTTCGCCGTGCAGCCAAGCGTCGCGGCCAATGGCCCGCTGGACCCGCCGGCGCTCATCGACTACACCTTCGGTGCACTGGGTCCGGCGGCCCTTCGCCAGGCTCAGCTCTTTGGCCTGCCGCCCGACATCAATACCGGAGCCGCGACCCAGGCCCACCGCCCATCCAGTCGGACCTCCTTCCTCCGAGCGCACTATCCCCTCCCTTGGGCCAACCTGCCCGTGGGTTTGCTGTTGAATGTCCCCGGCCGGGCCATCTACCTCTTCAATCTGCATGCTCTGAATTCCAGCCTCCTGCTGTCACTCTCGACCATGTGGTGAGAGGCCCACCATGGCAACAGACCATGCTCCACAGCGGAGGGGGGGCCATGCTGGCCCATGTCAACATGCGCAATACATGCATCACTTGTGCATCCTTCTGCGGGCCTCGGCCGTGAAAATGGAGTCATCCGGCGGGGAGGCGCGCGCACACACACACGTTTATATATATATATATGCACATAATGTTTATTCATCTTTGCACCTTCACGCACACACACACACACATACATACATGTCATGTACACCTGCCGCCCAATCGCCGACACTGGTCCGCGTGAAGACGCACATTCAGAGGGCACCACTTGGGGATGTATTGCTGAGCTTATATGCTACAAAGAAAAAGGCTGCTTGGAAAGGGGGAGCGGGGAGGGAGGGTATTTGGGAAATGAGGGAAGAAGCCGCTCCAGGGAGGGGGGGGGAGGAGGGAGGGGGCAGACACGCGCGTGCGGCCAAATCCCGGAGAAGGACAGGTCGAGGGGCAAACACGGAACACGGACCGGAGGGGGGAGGAAAAGACAGGGGACAGACAAGTACACAAGGATGGGTGCACCCCACCGGGCCTCCAGCGGCTCAGAGCGCGGGTAGCCGTGAGGATCGCCCTCTCTCTCTTTCTCTCTCTCTCTCTCTGCGTGTGCGTGCGGACGCGTGGGTGGGTGGGTGGTGCTAAGGGAGGAGGGCGTCATGGCAGATTGGCACATGCGCTGGTGTGGCGATATGCCTGGGATGAGCGAATTCCAACAGTGAGAGGGACGCGCCTCCTGCTTTATTGGCAGGGCACCCACTCTTCTGCTGGCATGAGCATGCGCGCACCAAGGGGCACAATCCCTCGGAGACGACAGCCGCACCGACGGTGATGGTAGTGCACATATGCGTACATACATGCACACACGCACACGCACACACGCACACACACACACACACGCACACACACACACACACACACACACACACACACACACACACACACATTTATATATATATGCACCAAGAGAAGAATCCCGGCTGGACTTCTAATTTAGGAGGCTGGGGATGGCAACGCGCGGGTCGTCGCAACCGAGCAGGGCAGCAGCAGGGGTGAGGTGGTCAGTCGCGTGCGGGGAGCTAGCGCTGCTGCCGCCGCCGCCCGGCGGCCCCGTCGACGAGGTAAACTGGGCCAATGCCCGGGCGGCCGCGAAAGTGGCATCCATACCTGATCCACTGCCAACCTGCTGTTGAGGGGGAAGGCCTGAAGCCGCCGTGGGCAGTCGACCACCGCCGACTTCGGTCACGGCCCCGGCCCCGGCTGGCAGGATGCCAGTCGGCGTCGAGGGGGAGGTGGTCGAGGAGGTGGTCGCCGAAGCGAGGCGCGCCGCGAGGGAGGCCGTGTTGATGGCCAGATGCGATCCGCCACCACCGGCATTGGGTAGGACACCCCCCAGTGGCGGGGGGAGTGGCAACTCGACGCCCGGGTTGAGCAGCGCACTGCCCCCCGCGTGAACATGCGCCGGCTGCGCCGGCTGCGACTGCGAGTGCGGGAAGTGCTGCACTTGCGGGTGCGGGTAGTGCAGCGGGCCGCCGGTGGCCGGCATGGGTGCCGAGACACCGGGCCCCGGGGCGGCCGACGGCGGCGGGCTCGGCGACGCGTCGCTCGAGGAGTCAATGTCCGGCGTGCTGGACATGGAGGACTTGTCCGGGCCACCAGCCCCACCGCCACCCGGCAGGGGGTCGGTATGCGTCCGGGCATGCTCCTCGAGCTGGGCCGCCTCGCGGAAGCGCCGCCGGCAGCCCCGCCGGGGGCACATGTGCGGCGACGGGCCGGAGTGCATCTGCGCATGGCGCTTCAGATGCCCACTCTGGCTGAAGGGCTTGCCGCAGCGAGGCCACCGGCAAACGAAGGGCCGTTCGCCGGTATGGACCCGCCGGTGGCGGTTGAGATCCTGCGTCCGGGCAAACACCTTGCCACACGTCGGGCAGGATTGCTTGCTCGGAGTGCCGGTTTTGGAGGGGGTCATGCTGCCGGCCGCAGAGGCCGCGCCCAGCGGGGACATGCCCACCACCCCGGCAGGGGGGCCGCCGGGTCCGGCTAGCATCGCCCGCGCGCCCATGCCGCTCGTCTTGCTGGGAGTCGTCACTGTGGGGCCAAATGCACAAGGTCAGGACACCGTGGGCGAGGGCATGCCGATGAAGAGACCCACAGACGGGAGCCGGGGGGGGGG